CTTGCATTGTTCATTATGATATTCCCAGTGTGTGGCCTATGGCAGGCATTCAATAAACTGAATGAAAGAGGGAATCATATGTGGCAAAATTATCAAGAAAAAATTGGAGGGGAGGTAATTTTCAACCCAGTGGAACAATCAGTCAAGTGTGAGTATGTAAACCACGAGAGAGAAAGTCATCAGATCTAGAATACAGGGGATAAACCAAGAGAAAGGCAAAGAGAATCCCCAAGATGATGAGGAAGGCTAGTCTCAGGACAACGGCTATGAAGTAAGCGTAAAAAACAATCAGAACAGACGGAAAGAGGAAAAATGACTCTGGGGGGAAAATGACTTGAGGGATTAATTGACAGCTCTGACAGTATGTAGAACTGTGTCTGAGCTGTCAAGTGTTGAAACATTTAGATAGAGAGTACAAAACAAAAAAACAAACAAAAAAAACAACAGAAAAACAAGCAAGAGAAAAAACTGAGGCAACTATTTTAACTCCAAGAAAAACAGAAAATTCAAGAAAGGAAACATTATCATACTACATTACTTGCCCTAGCAGTGAACATTTCCACAGTCACAATAATGAAAACTCTGAAAAGAGATTCAACAAAAACTGTACATTGAAAAGATGAGTGAGTGTGTGAGAGCGTTTGTGCGTGTGTGTGTGTGTGTTTAAGATCTAGGATCCTCATCTACCATAAGAGAAAGCTAAAAATAATTTCTAAAGCTGATAAATCAAGCATAAGCAAATGTTTGTAAATATCAGAAACAGATAAAAAGAACTGAGTGTTGCCTCTGGAGGGCAGAGGAAAAGGCTGAAGAACGAGTCTTCAGACTGCCATTTTAAAAGTTATAAATAAGCACTTAAGCACTATTTGATTTTTTAAACTATGGAAATGAATTACTTTGATACAATTATTCATTTAAAAAAGTATTTCCTCCTGTTGAGTTTTAAGGCTTTACCTGTTTCCCTCCATTTCACAAGTTACTCATTAAAAACAGCACTGAGGGGCCGGCCCTGTGGCTCACTCGGGAGAGTGCGGTGCTGATAACACCAAGGCCAAGGGTTCGGATCCCACATAGGGATGGCCGGTTAGCTCGCTGGGTGAGCATGGTGCTGACAACACCAAGTCAAGGGTTAAGATCCCCTTACCGGTCATCTTTTAAAAAAAAAAAAACAAAAAAAACAAAAACAGCACTGAGGTAGGATTTTCATTCCTATAGAGCTTTATAACCAGAAAAAAAATAAAAGGCCTAGAAATATGGCAGCTGCCCATGGGATTCCAAGAAGCCTATCCGCAGGATACTTAACACAGGAGTGGAGTCTCCCTGCACTCTGAGCCTCCACATGGCTGACTGGGAACAGATCAGAGGAGGCCTTCGCAGGGTCACAGCCCTCTTGGAGTCATGGCCCTCTCTAGCTTGAATTCAGTGCTGCAAATCTAAGGAGGGTAAGTCACCAGAAGGCTCTTGTAATATTAGGCTAATGACTGACTCTGAAGATAGTACAAAAGCCTGAAAATCATTCTGCAGCACATGGAAAATATAAAGGGATGGGTAATCATTTACTGAAACCAGATATATGTGAGACATTGTATTATGGGCTTTATATATACTGTTGTCTAATTCTTGTGATAGCCATGTTAGATATCCACTGCACACTGAAAGAAAATTGGAGCCCAGCAAGTTTAAGACACTTGTTCAAAGTCACAGACTAACAAGTGGCAGAACTAGAATTAAAATCCAAGGCAAAAGAAAAAACAAAGAAACAAACATGAGTTTGATGAAGATCCTAGATCAATTTATAGGAAATACAGGAGACAAAGGGACCATTAATGACACTGTGGGGGTACAGTTAGAGGAATCTAGACTATCAAAATCTACAGGATAAATAATCCATTTTTTCCCAATAAGCTGCAAGAAGAAATAAAGTGAGAAGGAGGAGAGAGAACCTACAGATTTTAAGAAATTTAAGTAACATATCAACCAACTGCAATACACAGATTTTACCTGGAACCTGATACGACCCAACAAGCTGCTGAAAAGGTTTTTGACACATTTGGAGAAATGTGAACACTGAAAATCTGATGATGTTCTTTTTAAAGGCATGATAACAATATTTTGATTATGTTTTCAAAAAGGGTCTTTATCTTTTATTTTATTTTATTTTTTTATTATTTTTTTATTTTATTTATTTATTTTTTCCTTTTTTCGTGTCTGGCAACGGATCGCGACCCTCAGTGTCACGCCCATACTGGACTGGGACCGGCAATGGGATAGCAAACCTCGGTGCTGCGCCCGCACCTCGCTCAGCCAGTGAGCGGGAACCGGTCTGTATGTGGGATCCGAACCCTTGGCGGGAGCGCCGCTGCGCTCTCAAGTGGCGCAATGTAGCAGTGCACCACCGGGCCGGCCCAAGGGTCTTTATCTTTTAAAGATAAATGTTGAAATATTTGTGGATACAAAAATGTTTGCGATTTGCTTCAAAACAGTCTGGGATGGGGGAAAAAGGGTAGGGGTAGAAATGAAACAAAACTGAGCATGAGATCATAATTACTAAAGCTTCATGATGGGTAAATGGGGGCTCATTATAATACAATCTTTTTCATCTGTGTATGATGTTTATAATAAAAGTGAAAAAAAAAAAAAAAAAAGTACAGGGAAATGTGACCCAGTCTCTACAGTGAACATGATCTTCCCTGAGTGATCATGTTTGGTGACAGCATAGAGAAGTCATGCTATTGGTGTAATTCAAAACATTTCTGGGTTTGTCTTCTACTCCCCTGTCCACATGACAGTCACTTTCTGCAGGGCACAACTCTTGTGCACAATTCGCCTACAGCAAGAAGTTCTAAATTCTTTTTTTTTTCCTTTTTTGTCGTTTTTCATGACCGGCAACGGATCGCAACCCTCAGTGTCACGCCCGTACCGGACCGGGACCAGCAACGGGATCGCAACCCTCGGTGTTGCTCCCACACCTCGCTCAGCCAGTGAGCAGCCGGTCTGTATGTGGGATCCGAACCCTCAGCGGGAGCACCACCGAGCTCCCAAGCGGCACACTGTAGCAGTGCGACACCGGGCCGGCCCAAGAAGTTCTAAATTCTAATTGGGTGCATCAGTTTTAGTTTCTGCCAAACAGTATTTCCCCTTAAACACCCCTCTTTAATTAAACAGCCCAAACCCACCCTATTAAAAAAACCATGTAAATTTCCAAAGTACCCACGAAAACAAGCAGACACCATAAAACATATAAAGGGCCAGAAAGATGAGAAAAGGGATAAGTAGGATATGCGTGAGGAGAATTGAGCAGCTCTTCAAGCACACAGCATCCTACAGAATCACATAATTAAAGCGACAGGAGGAAGCTCAGGAAATCGTTTGGATAAATCCCCATCTTTAAGCTACTTTAGGACTGTAGCACATCTACAGAAGTGTTGCAAGATAGCCACAAAACTCTACAACCTCGCACCCAAATGAGTGGGCCGTAGAACGACCAGATCTTTTGGGGAGGGGTAAAGAGCACCTGCTAAAGCAGTTCCTTCCACTGGTCCCAGGATGGGGGCCCACCTCTGGGCAGGGACGTTACCAACGAGGACAACCCACCCCAGACCACAGAAGCTGTCTCTTCTTGCTGCCATTTGACTTTTCATTTGAGCTCCCTATGTCAGCAAAGGTGTGAAGGAACCACTGGAGCAGTAAAGATGCCAGGCAGAGAAAGAAAACCTTCTGTCTTGTAGTCACTACTTTTGGGGGAAACTCATTCACTTTTCAATGACAGTACAGGCATTCTCTATCATATGGCATGGGGAATGAGACTCAGAAATACAAAGCACTAACTTACTCTGTTCCCTTCTGAGCAATTTCACCTAAAATTAACCTACAATTAGGAGTTTGGTGATAGTTGCCTCAATCTTCCTGGCATTCTAAAGGTGGAAGGATGTTGACTTAGACTCAGCATGAGTTACATTCATGTGGGGTTCACCTTCCTTCACGTAAGACCCAGTGGACATTTTAACCATTAAAATAATCCCACATTTGTTTTCTGGGAGTCACAAGAACTTCAGAAGGAGATAGGATTTAATGGCAGCAAGAGAGACCAGGAGCAGTAAGCCAAGGACTCTCAATGTTCACTCTTCTGTCCTGGCAAACTGCTGCTATGAAACAGTCACTGTGCAGTGTACTTCACTAAATGAGGCATGTCAGTGTTACCTGCCAGTACGTGGTACCCGTCTAAGCCTTGGAACAGAGATCCTTAACTGGTATCTTATTTAGGGTACTGGGGGAACATGTTGGGAGCTATCAGTAGCTGTCTACTGTCTTCAGAGGCAAACCACTACTCACTGGGCGTTGCTGTGTTCCTGGGCTCTTCTCAGACCTTACCTCATGTAACTAATAACTGAACCACCCGGAGGACAGCCACGTAATCTGTCCCAAGAAAGAAGGCAAATCAGGGAGGAGCAGGACTGGAACACGTTTCATAGTTGAGTCATTCTGCATTCCACAGTAAAATGTACTATTCATCATGCATTTATAGTCAAATCAGAATTTATTTCTCTCTCTTTTTTTTTTTTTTTTTGTCTTTTTTCGTGTCCGGCAACGGATCGCAACCCTCAGTGTCGCGCCCGCACCGGACCGGGACCGGCACAGGATCGGCACGGGATCGCAACCCCCGGCGTTGCTCCCGCGCCTCGCTCAGCCAGTGAGCGGGAACCGGTCTGTATGTGGGATCCGAACCCTTGGCGGGAGTGCCGCCGCGCTCCCAAGCGGCGCACTGCAGCAGTGAGCCACCGGGCCGGCCCAGAATTTCTTTATTTCTAATCTATTATTTCTTTTCATTCTGTTCTTCCTGATCAGCATATACCTTTATCTATTTATCTCCACCCTGACAAACTCCTTAGCTCTTTGCCACCATAAACCATCCCAATTTACGCAAGCTGAACTCTTCATTCTGTTATCACAGGAAGTAGTTGTCAAGAGGTGTGATGCAATAGGAAGACCAAGTAGAGCACCTTTCGGGTGATTGCATAGTGTCCTTTAAGCTCATGCAGGGCCCACTTGATGTCCTGACTGCTCAGCATTTTGAAGTCGGCCATCAGTAGGTCAGCAGCTTGGATGAAGCAGCGTTGGTCAAGAGGAGCCAATTTAGAATAGTCAAAAAAATCTATTTTAGGTAACTGAAATGAGAGAGAAGCACAAAATTAGAGGCCAGACCCTGCATTTCTCATGAAGGGGAAATCATTTTAAGATTTTAAGAATTACATATTACATAAAAGAATGATCTTGTCTGTTTTCATAATTACTCTATAAGGAGGTTACCAGCCCTATCACAAAGATGAAGAAATGGTAGCCCAGTGAGGTTACACAACCTGCCTGGAATCTAGTGACCAGTTTTACTAGTCAATACCAGTAAAAACCAATTTGGGGATGTGAACCTAATCTTTCAGCCATCTGCTTTCTACAAAATGTTTAGAGAAACTAATTTTTCTGCTACAGAATATGTAAAGAGATAATCGAAAGAATCTGTGGGGAGTAGGAAGATCAAACAATAAATCTTAAAGAAATTAGTTTTGAACTATACTTTCCATCACTATATTATATAACATACTAAATGTTATTTTGGATCTTACATGAAGGCAATGATTAAAGTTATTAAAAACCAAACTGTTCACATCTTGATATGGGATTTGATTAAACAGGTGTACGCACTGTACACAAATCTTACATCAAAAGAACAAACAGATGTTAAACTTTAGGTAATAACTGCCTACTGACATATTTATAGTAAAGTATATTGATATTTTTGCAATCTACTTTGAAATGCATTATAATGAAATGAAATAAGGCGTGCTAATGGACAGAGGACAGATGTGTGCTAAAGTGGATACAGTAAAATGTTAACATTTTAGTAGTACTGGAGGTGGGTATATAGGTGGTCAATGTAAAACATTGATACTTTTCTGTTTGTTTGAAAATTTTCATAATAAAGCGTTAAAAAGAAACAAAGAACAAAATTATACAAAGAATCCTGGCCAATTCTTGTTTCATTTTAGGAACTTGCTTTGTGGGATTAAAGATATGGAAGATTTGTTTAATTCTTTATGGGTAAGGGAAGACAAGAGTTACAATGAAAAGTAGGAAATACAGAATTTAAAGTGGCTCAGATTAGGAGATCCCACTGAAGTATACATATATCCTGAAATTCTGTTTCCCCTGCTAGTCTTTAAAAATGTGTCCTGACAAAGCACTTTCTTCTCCTAAGAATGACCAAAAAAGCAGGGCATTTCCGGGTAGAGACTGCAACACAAGAGCACACCACTTGCCTTTGTCTCATCTTGGCTGGCCAGCAGGCTGCTACTGGGGTTTATAATGATTCTATCTTCTCTCTTTGGATAATCTGGATTTTCCAGAAGAAAATTACAAAGTCTGCAAAAACAAATGATGTTACTTTCGTACTGCTTCCAAATCCTACACCTACCCACTGATTCAAATGCAATGTTTGAAAAATAAAGTCCCTAGCACACATTACGACTGGCCTATCAAGGAATTAAGATGTTGGCAGCCCAGGAAAAACTCAACCAATAAATAACAAAAAACAATTACACTGAATTCCTACTTTTGTTTGCTAATTTAAAAAGCAGTGAACATACTGATGAATGCAAACTCCTCTGAAGTTTATCTATTAATTGTGTGTCAATGTAATGAAGACACTGAAATTATTATTGGCTAAACTGTATGGAATTGGAGAATTTAGAAGAAAAGTAGCTATTGTTTGTTGAGATAACTATGAACAAATAAGAAGTGGGAAAATGTGTATTCACATTTGTAATTAAAAACAGTTTGCTAAGAGAGTTAATAAATACGTGAAATATAAAAGAACTTCTGCTAATTCATTAATACTTTCTATAACCCTATGGACACATAAATCTCTACGGTAATGTAAATCTCTATGAGCCATTTGAGTTATGCTCAGTTTGTTTAGCTAACAGTGAAACTAAAAAACAGACCATGTTTTCTTACGAATCGACTCTTTTCATACCAAAACCATTAGCCTTGTCTCTCTATTACTATTATTATGAAATACTTCAAAGGTACAACATAAACACTAAGATAACACACACTGATGTATCACCACCCAGACTTAACAAATGTTAACTATCCAGACTTTTCACCCTGTAGCACAATCAAATCAGACAACAAACTGCACTTGGGAGGATTCCGCAGTGGTGAGGATGGTGTGGGTGAGGTGCAGCCCTAGCCACATTTAGTTTGAGCAAAAAAGCTTTACTCAGAAGTCAACTGGAGCTTCCCCTCTTCTCTATCCTCCTCCTTCCCCTTGTTCCAGCAGATTCTTAGGATGACCTTATGCCCTCCTAGTTGCCCCACCCATAATTCTCACTGAGCTCCCTTCTTCCCAGTTCTCTCTCGTCCAACATCAACAGTTGGGCCTATAATAGCAAGACAAGTCCAGCAGGAAGAGGACAGAGGAAAAAATACCCATCTGCACTTCCTTTTCTCATCCAGGTGCTAGTGTTTGGGGACCGGAAAATGGAGAGGCATCCCCCACCCCTGGAGACCCTCAGCCTTGGCCCTTTCATAAAGCCCTCTCCTTCATCCTGCCCCAATGCTGGTCAGCACATCTCAATACCTTTTTTTTCCACCAATACTTCCAGGAGCCCATAAGCTCATCTCTAAGCTGCTGTATTCCTTATCACTATCGTCTGACCTCTATGGAACATAACGCCAGAGGCCCACAGAAGGGGAAAAAAGCCCTCTTACTGTATTACAGGTGTAGCAATAGGAGAGACACCCCTAGTGAAGAATTTTGAGCACATTTTCCTTTAAAAACACCGTCATCGATGGTGATTCTCTGTCCTAGAACGTACTGGTGGTGCACCATAGGCTATGCTGATCTTTGAAGGCTGACCTCAGAATTAGCCACCATTAAGAATCCTGTATCTGTGAGGAAAGGCCTGGAGTTCCAATAACTCCTTACATGGGCACATCTGACATAGCTATAAACCAGATAAAGAATTGCTCCTGTATTTCAAACTTGCCTGATTGTAATATTCTGGTAACAGTGGCTACTATGACCAACAAACTGCTGGATACCAGAATTTAGGAAAAAGAAAAAGAAAAAGGAATTATCTTTGACAGAATGGCCACCCATGGGTGAAGTCAGTGGTCTCCAAGCGGAGTACATGGAAGATTCCTATTTTTAAAAATCTCATCCTTTAACATTTCCTATTTTTATTTATTTTCTAAAGTACGTGATACGTAAGTATACCTCTATATGATAAAGAAGTAGAATAGTAGGTAGTTTCTTGAAAAAACAAACATTCTATTTTAGAGGCTTTTTCTCATCCTGATTCATTTTATATTTTCAACAATATTAACCTCACATATTAAAATGCTGCAAGATGTGGAAATCCACATGGCAGAAATCAGAAGCTCTTGCTTTGAACTGTCAAAATTAATTTCTACTTTAATCCCTTCCCTACCTTTACCAACAGAACTTTCCTGGTGGCTAAACAATGTTTAGTGGCATAGATAACTGAGGACAAGGCTTCCCTTCTACAGATACAAACTGCAGCCCCTGTCTAGTGTTTGCACCCCTTGGCAAACACAGTGGGAAAGCTTGTCAGACTCAAATCTGCCTGCCTAGTTGAAGCATTATCTCATGCTTCAACTAACCTGGCATTCTACCCTACTGAGTATCAGAAAACACTTCTGCTTATAAATAAGCTAGGCTAGCATTCCCACCTTTTGATCTTTACATAGTTGTTGCCACCTTCAGCCAATTAAAGTTTGCACCACATGTGAGTCTTATTAACCAGCTGAAGAGTAGATTACTGGCCATGCGGATGTCTAGTGAACAGGCCCCTCTTGCTTAAAATGGCCAGATGTTTCTGTCTAAAGGCCATTTAAAGATGCACATAAAGTGAATGAGAATCAGCTACAAGAAAATCCCAAACTTCTCAACTTGGCTTTAGGCCTCATTTTAGGTCTCCATCAACAAAGTTTTAGCTTAGTTGTGGAATTAACACTGTCCTAAGAGGCCAGGGACTAACGGAAAGGAATGCAGTGTTAGGAAAATCAGATTATGGTTTGAAAAGATTCAATACAACTACTATACATTTCCTTGCCTTTTGGATTTCACAAGAAGTTTTTACATATTTAAGGATGAATGTTTGCTTCTGAGTGACACAAATAGCACAGACAATCAGTGAGTCCCTAAAATTAAGGACATGTATGAGACTAAGGAGGTAGAATAGAATTGTAATAGAATCAGTCAATTTGATTACATCTTACTGATATTTTACAGAAAACTAATCTTGATACTTAAAAAACAATACGTTCATTTGTACGAGGAGAATGAAACATTGAAGTATACTAAATTTCTTTTCTTTTTTTTTTTTTTTTTAAATGTGTGTGTAGGGATGAAGTATACTAAATTTCTATGGGGTTACTTTAATATTTGATATAAACTGTTCAAAAATACTTAAACTTGTTATTTGCTATTCAAATCACTATTCCGTGACTAAATGTGCTAAATTTATATTTTTCTATCACGTATTTTATATAATGAACAAACAAATATTAAAAGCATGAACAAAAAAAGGAACTCAATGAGAAGAGAGAAGTAAATAATTCATGTGATGGGAATACAATTAGTAAACAAATATATGAAAAATGCCACAAAGCCAATTATCAAAGACCTGGTGCAGAGTGGAAGCTCAGGAGACAAGCTGAATGTTCACAGGTATATTCTTTGTGAGAGCCAAAAAGTAGAAACGACTCAAATGTCTATCAAAAGTAGAGGGGAAAATTTAATTACAATATTTTGATTGAATAAATGGAATATTATCTAGCAATGAAAATAATGAACTGTGGTTATACACAACATGGATGAACCTCCCAAACATAATACTGAGAGAAAGAAGCCAGATGCAAAATACTACATGCTATATGAAACCTTTATATGGTGTTCAAATGTGGGAGCAATGTTGTTTCTGGGTTGCAGGTTACGTGAATGTTTGCTTTATGATAAATTATTGAGCTATTCATCTTTACTTTATGCATTTTCTTATGTATATTATATTCTATAATGAACAGGTTTAAAAACTTTTATACAATCAGGAATATGGAGAAAAGGCTTGAGAAGAGTGAACTGGTGTGTAAAATAACAAAATGGCTTCCTTTTCCAGCAGCATGGAAGATTAAGTACCTAGGCAGTCTTCCACTGAAAGAAGCTGAATGAGTTTTTGGTGATTCAAGAACTTCAAGACAGGAATCTAAAATAATCTTGGGCTGACATTGCCCCTAGACACCTCAAAAAAAGCAAAAGCAAAACAAATCCTCCCTGAAGGAACCAATTCTACCTGTAAAGACTTCAAGAAATGAGCTTGGAGTCAAATTTATAAATTACACAAGAAAACAAGGCACCATGAGAGCCAACAGAAACAACAGAATAAGTTTTTCAAGAACTTCACACATCAGAACAATCACACTCAAAAACAAAGAAACTATCATGTTTAAATAAATAAAAGGATTAAAAATATAGCGAAAGAGTAAAATACTAGAAAAATGACCAAGAGAATTAAGAAATAAAAACACTAAAAATTAAAAATAACTATAAAAAACTTACTTCAGTCAGTAATTAGTAATAACACTGGTATTATAATTTTAAAATTATTTTATATATGTTGTAGGATAAACAAATAAATATATTAATGTTAGAAATTAAGTTTTTAATGGAAGAGAAAATAACATACAAATGTAAAATTTAGAAAGATCAAGAAAAAACCTTAATGTTAAGTTTGAATTGGAAATTACGAATATAAATTTGATTAAAAAAAAACAAAAACATTTCCTTGGTCTGTCACTTGAAAGGACCTAGAGGGGATGACATGTCGGTAGCAATGACAGCACATCTAGCCCTGAGACATTAGTTTATAAACATCAGTCCTCATTCTAAGAAATCTGGGTTTCTTAAAAGAATGACAGATTCTAGATTGGCGGTAGAAGGAGCTCAAGGTAAGCTTGGAGCAACATGGTATATGAAAAAGCAAGTAAATGCTCAAAGACTAATGAGGTCATGCCAAAAAGACACAAGTGCATCTTAAGAAGCTCCCACTGGTCAAATCTAGGACAACTGCAGTATCTAAAAGAAAACAATTGTAACTGATCTAAAACACCACTCTACCAAAAACTCTCAAGTCCATAGTTATATATATCATAAAAAGAGCAAGAGGAAGTAAAAAGAAAAAATGTTCTATACATCAAAATGCCAGATAATAATCTAGGTGGTGGATATATGGGTGTTCTCTTGTAAAGTCTTACAATTTTTTATGTTTGAAAATGCTAGGGGTGGGGAATCACTGACCTTAAGAAAAAAAAGTGAGTGGGGGACTATTCTAGATTAAGAAGCTGAAGAGATAAACAACTACAGAAAGAAACCTGGAGTCAATCCTGATTTAAAGCCTGGAAACAGCGGTTGTCTCTGGACAGAGGTGGGGTTAGACAAGGCCACCACTGGCACCAACAATGTCTCTGCACATATTAGAAAAAAATGCCTCCCTTGGGCTGAGTACCTGGAAAGGGGGGTCCTTCCCTCTCCATCTTGGCAGAGAACAGACCCACTTTCACCCTTGGCTGAGAACCGCAGTATAAGACACGACCTTTGAGGGCAGAGGTTTAGAATACTCCTCTTTTGTTTAATTAAAGAATATCTGGGGCCGGCCCGGTGGCACACTTGGTAGAATGCGGCGCTTGGGAGCGCGGTGGCACTCCCGCCGAGGGTTCGGATCCCATATAGAGACCGGTCCGCTCACTGGTTCAGCGCGGTGCGGACGCGACACTGAGGGTTGCGATCCCATTACCGGTCACGAAAAAAGACAAAAAGGAAAAAAAAAAAAAAAAAGAATATCTGTATTAACTCTTTGAAAATTTGATTAATTTCAGTACTCTACCATCCTTTACAAGTTTACGACTATTTCACCTGTGTAGAACAGAATGAGGGTAAAGAATATAAGAGGAAAGAGACATTTTTCATTTTGTATTCTTCAGGACACTTAAAAAAACCCAACATATTTATCACTTATATATTTAAAAACTAAAGAAATGCTTTCGTGTTTTTCCAAACAGGTAGAATGGTTGCAGACCACTTTCTGTTACAATTGTAGGGAAACACAGGTAGTATCAATGCTCAGAAACAACTAAACACTGTAATTCCATAACCATGCAGTATTCCATAAGATCCGGAAAACAGTCTGTATATGACTAATGTTAGAACTAACAGGATCATTAAAAAGACATGGTGCTAAGATAAGACACGGTGATAAGCCAGTCAGAAAAGGAAAAATACTGTATGATTCAACTTATATGAGGTCCCTAGAGTAGTTAAATTTATAGAGATGGAAAGTAGAGGGGCGGTTTTCAGGGCCTTGGTTTGTAGAGGGTAATGGGGAGTTAGTGTTTAATGGGTACGTACTTTGGAAGATGAAAAAGTTCTGTAGATAAATGGTGGTGATGGCTGCACAACAATGTGAATTTACTAATGCCACTGAACTGTACACTTAAAAATCATAAATTTTATGTTATATATATATTTCACCAACACCAAAAAAAAAGGAAGGTGGTATACTTACACATTCAAATCATAATAATTCTTCAAATGAATTATTTCCTCAATATATCCATTTGCTACATCTGGAAATCTTGCTTCCTGGAAAGGAATAAGAACATTATTTATATTTATATTTCATTCACTAGAATGGCTTCAAATGGCAATAAAAACCAGATGGCAGAAAGTATATAAAATGACTAAAGATTAGAATAGGGCTGTAAAGCAGGTCTGTGTGTGGCTTAAAATTCAATATAAAGTTCCCAGATTCATCTGTCTACATAGAAGATGAAGTCTAGAACGGTCCTTAGAGATCATCTGGTCCTCTGCCCCCATTTTGCATGCCTATTCATCATTCTTTCAACAAATTTTGAGCATCTCTGTCCAGGCAAAGGGAGTCCAAAGACAAATAAGATACAATCCCATGCTTGCCCACAAGAAGTATACAATCACCTGACCCAGATGAAAAAACCTGGGTGAAGTAGAGTTAATTTACTTATTCAAAGGCAAACAGCCACCACTCTGGATATAAAGCCCTGTATTACTCTGTAGCATTGATATCAGTGCTATTCAATAAAACTGTATGATGATTAAAATGTTCTATTCTGTGATTCCTAATAAGGTAGCTAGCTGTTAGTCCCATGTGGCTACTGAGGCTAAAATGTGACTGGTACCACTGGAAACTGAATTTGTAATTTTATTTAATTGTAAGATATTTAAATGTAAACAACCATATGGGGCTAGTCACTGCCATACTGAGCAGCACAGGTCTAGGTAATCCACTAAACTTGCATTAAGGGTTTGAATTTGGAGTGAACTCAAGGCCTTTGAAAAAACTGGGGAAACTGCAAATATGACAGCATAAGGGAAATTGCAGATATGACATGACCATGATGTGCAGCTAGAATCCCAAAGGGTTTCCCGGAGGGTTAAGTACAAATTAAGGAATCCTGATTCCATTTTCAAGTCTTCAGAATTTCTCTTCTTCTATTCTATACATCTAGATATACACCTTTTAGGAAAATGAAGTCCACACACACAATATATATATATTTTCTGCAATAAAAGAAAACTCAGTATGTTTAGTGCCTACAATTATTTACTTGATAAAATAAACTTACTGTTTCTTTCACTAATAGTGCAACGAGTTCTTGATCTATCTCAGCAGCTTCTTGTCCCCAAATATTTTCCAAACTGGGCTCCTGAGATCCTTGTAGTGGAAAGGCTGGACCTGGCTCGTCATCGTCTGTTGTTAACTGTTGGTCTTCTAGCTCTCCTAGAGGATGGGCAGGCTGAGGAGAAGCGGGGCCTGGAATTCCATCCTGCTGGAGTTCTGGTCTTGGAAAAGCTGGTCCTGGGAGTTCATGCTGAAACAACAATGGGCCCAGGTCTGCTTCAGGATGCCGTTCCTGAGGAACAACCTGGTTTGTTATCTCACGGGGCTGCTGATTTATTAGAGACTGGAAGTAAGGATGGTCTAACCAGCAATCCTCTTCAATGGCCTGATCATCTACTATAGCAGTTGATTCTCCAAGATTTGACAAAAGCTCTGTGTCTGAGTCTTCAGATGACTGGTTCTGAGTTTCCAAAGGGTCATTTTCTGGGAAAAGAAGGCTACCTTCTTCCAAGATAATGACTTTCTGCTCTGATCTGGGGTTAACAATGTCATTTGCTGCTTGATTATGACTTGGTCCAGGTTTGGGTTCTCTTTCTGTTTGGCCACTTGACTTAGTAAATTCAGAGAATCCAGGAGGCCCAAGATCCAGAAACGTACCGTAGTCATCGTCGGAATCATCCTGTGCCCCAGAATCAAACAATGGGTTGTTACAAACTGAAAAACAGCTGCTCTTATCTGATTCAAAAGCTGCTCTAGACTTTTTAGGCCTTTCTTCTCCCAACCTTTTCAGATCTTGCCACTGGGCAGCTGGTTTGATGAGATTGGGCCGTGATGTCTGAGGTTTATTTGTCTAAGAAAAAATGAAATTTTAATAATAATTCAATTTCTTTCCTATGACTATGTCTCCTCATGTACTTATATTGAGCTTCTGAGACAAGATAGGAAAGAAACAAAAACAGACACCCTTCCCCTTAACAAAACCTATTCTTCACATTTATCTTAACATTGAAATTTTATCACACTACAGTTCTATCAAAGAACTAAATCAAAGTAGCCATTCATAGATTGAAACTTGAGTTATAGTTTGAATTATAATTTAACCTCTGAGACCACTAAAACAAAAATAACTGCACAGTAGAGGAAAAATGAAAGAATGCTAACGTATGAGAGGAGCAAGAAATGTTCAACGAATATATGAAAAGAATCTGCAGCTTATTGGTAATCAGCAAAATGAAAATTAAAACAAGACAATCATCCCCCCTATAAGACTGGCAAACTTTTTAATTAGACAGTATCAAGCATGGGTGAGGAGGTTTGAAAACCCTTATACTATCATTCACTGCTGGTGAATTCAGGAGAGCAATTGACAGTATTTACTAAAGTAAAAAATTTATATACTTATGATCTTTCAATATTAATTTTTCATTATCTATTCTACAAACCCTTATGTATCTAAAGAGGGCATATACAAGGATATTCACTACCACATTCCTTACAGGATGAAAAGAAAAGAACTAGAGACATTCTAAAGTCCAGCCCTGAGGGCCGGCCCGGTGGCGCACTGCTACAGTGCGCCGCTTGGGAGTGTGGCGGCGCTCCCGCCGAGGGTTCGGATCCCACATACAGACCAGCTGCTCACTGGCTGAGTGAGGTGCGGGCGCAACACCGAGGGTTGCGATCCCGTTGCCGGTCCCAGTCCGGTATGGGTGCGACACTGAGGGTTGCGATCTGTTGCCGGTCACGAAAAAAGACAAAAAAAGGAAAAAAAAAAAAAAAAAAAAAAAGTCCATCCCTGAGAGAATGGTTAAGTGAAATATTATTTACTTGTTCTAAAAAATACAATTCCCCCTCCAAAAAAAGAGGTACTTCAATATGTACTGAAATGGAAAGCTCTTTATGAAATGCCGTTAAGAAAAGCAAGTTACAAAACAAAACATACGAAGAATGATTTTATTTATTAAAAAAAAATTAAACACCACTTCTAAATGTATGTATATGTATACACACACGTGTGTGTGCACACACATACATAAAATTAAACACCACTTCTAAATGTATGTATATGTATACACACACGTGTGTGTGCACACACACATACATAAACACACACACACACACACACACACACACACACACACACACACACACACTCTCTCTCTCTCTCTCTCTCTCTCTCTCTCTCTCTCTCTCTCTCTCTCTCTCTATCTCTCAAAGAAAAAGACCTAGAAGAATATATGCCAAACTGATAACAGTTGCTCTGAGAAATCCTTTGGAAGGAAGGGGCTAGTGAAGAGGGACTTTAGCTTAAATAGTATTGTTTCCATTTCCATAGAGAATGTAACCATGTGAATTAAAAAAATTAAACTGGTTGTCCAATTTTAAGATAGTGGGATAATGATGTCTTTGACCCTTCTCTTCAATGACATCACCCCAACTAGGGAGAACAATGAGCCACAGAACTGAAAATCTATCACGAACCAGCAGATGCTTGTAATTTGAAATCGAACATGTATAAGGAGAAGCCTATAACTGCCATGAGCCTACAGACTTCAGGAAAGGGAGAGAAAGCTGAGAACTTCCCAAAGGAAATGGTATGTCCTGGGGACAAAACCAACAACTCTCTTTTTGGAACAAAGGGCCTAAGAGAGCAGGAGACTGCCAGAACCTCTACCCCATTTGGCAGCAGGTAGTTTCTAAGGTTAGACTGAGTGACATTATCTGCAGGAGGCAAGCTATCAGGGAGGCAGGATGAAAAGACCTTTGAACTCAGCTGCTCTGGAACTGGCAATCTATGACAGGATGTAAGAAGTAAATGCTAAATAAATATAGGGGTATGTCCATATACAACCCCCTACCTCACCCCCAGTGTCTGAACCCTTCCCCAACATAACCACTACACAAAGAGCTAGTCCAGGAAAACTTCTACTGCATTCAGAGTTGAGTAATAATAAAAAGCAACCAGCACAGAAACTATATAAAGATACCTAAATATTAAAAAAGAAGAGATGATCGATCGATAATATATACCGGAAAATCAGTGCTACAGTGCAGATGAAACCTTGACAAACAGAACAAAGAACACAAAGATGTAATGAAATAATTACCTCTTTGATATAAAGGTTGAGAATTTAAATGTTTTAAACCAGGGTTTGCAGAAATAACGTAACCATCAAAAGTTGGGAGAAGTAGATAAGATGAGGGTCAAAGGATACACTTAAAGGTGATAAATCAATTGAAGTAGGTAAGGACAGCATTAGAAAGTATAAAAGTAACTACTACAAAAAACTAAAAAGACTAAAACTAAGGATAAAAATCCTTCAAACTAGGCACACCCACGCCCATATAAATAAAAACAAAACCTCAAAGATGCAGGGAACGTAGTAAAAGATTATTTTTATAAGTAATAAAAATAGCAAGCATATTAAATACAATGAGAGAACTAAAAACAAATTGTCACACTAATAAATATAAATAGGATCAACTCACCTATTAAAAAAGACTCTTTAAATAGAACCACAGGTAAAACCCAACTACATAATCAACTATATAATCAAGAGGTTTTGAGAACACAGTGATCCAGAAAGCATGTAAGTAAAGACATAAAAGGGGACTTCTGATTCCAGGAATGACATACTGATTACTCAGACCAACCTTTCTCCTGAGTAAAAGGTGAAAACCTGGTCAAAATATTCAAACAAAACAGAGCAAACCAAAAACATTCGCTTGAAGGCTTTGTACAGGGGAACAGGATCCAGAGGAAGAAATCCAGCAAAATGGGCCTCCACATTTGGAGAACTTTCCCCTACATATGCATGTGCCAATTCCAGACTCAGACTTGACTGAAGAACTAGCAGATAAACAAAAGTTTTGATACCCTTATTGAGGCGCTCAGGGCACAAAAATTAGAAGTCATAACCCATCAAAGGAAAGAGTTCTGGTAAATCTCAAACTTTAGGGTGAATCCTTAAAAGGGCTATGCCACTGAAATAAAGGTAGTCTGGAAATATGATGGATCTCCCAGGAACTGAATGCCTGTTTGAATAATTTAAAACTTCCTGAATTTGAGTTTGCTGGTGCCCTTAATCTTCAAGAAACAAATGTAGATCCTTTGTAGAATCCCCAAATTTTCATATACAGCGACTCACACTCAATTAAAAATAACTAGGCATACAAGAACTTAATATGACAACAGAAAACCAAACGAGAGAAGTAACAGACAACAGAAATAAATGTACAGAGGTTTCAGACAGTGAAGTTATCAGACACGGATTCTAAAATAATAATGCTTTGCACGTTTAGGGAAATAAAAGACTAGATAAAAGTAAAAGATCAGAGAATTTCAACAGAGAATTAGAAGAAACAAATGTAAATTCTAGAATAAAAGACACAATAAGATTAGGAATGAATGAATGAATGTACAGCATTTTAGATATAGTTGAGGAGAGAAATTAGTGAACTGAAAGATAGGTCAGAAGAAAATAGCCAGAATAAGGCATAGAGAGACAAAACTGAAAATTAGATAATAGAACACATAAAGAATACAGTGAAAAAGGTCTTAACAACAATGTAACTGTAGTTTCACAAGATGAGGAGAGAAGCAATATTTGAAGACAAAATACAAACATTCAAAAAGACAGTGGCTTGATTTCAGTTTTGAAGATCCAAACAGGATGAATTAAAATACCCCAAACAATAGGAACCTAGGTATAGTATAGTAAACTGCAGAAAACAAATTACAGGGCTGGCCCGGTGGCACACTGGATAGTGTGCCGCTAGGGAAGCAATACCCCAAACAATAGGAACCTAGGTATAGTATAGTAAACTGCAGAAAACAAATTACAGGGCCGGCCCGGTGGCACACTGGATAGTGTGCCGCTAGGGAAGCGCGGCGTCGCTCCCGCCCGAGGGTTCGGATCCCACATACGGACCGGTTCCCGCTCACTGGCTGAGCGAGGCGTGGGGGCAACGCCGAGGGTTGCGGTCCCGGTCCGGTGCGGGGGCGACACTGAGGGTTGCGATCCGTTGCCGGACACGGAAAAAGACAAAAAAAAAAAAGAAAACAAATTACAAAGAGAAATTCCTAGCAGGAGCATTAATTGCCTTCAAAAGAACAAAAATAAGACTAATAACTGAGTTTTCAACAGAAAAATGGAAGCCAGAAAACAACGGAATAGTATCTTAGTGTTTAATGAAAATAACTGCCACATAAAATTTTATACTCAATGAAAATATCAGCAGACTTGCTATAAATCCTAAAGGGTGGTCTTTAGGCAGACGAAAAATAATCTCAGTTTTAAGGCCAGAGATACAGAAAGGAAAGAAGAGCAACAAAAAGAGTAAATATTTGGATAAGGTAATGAATATTGACTGCATAAAATAAAAAAACATTGTGGGTTTAAAAAATGTATACAGGGGGCCGGCCCGGTGGCGCACTGCTACAGTGCGCCGCTTGGGAGCGCGGCGGCGCTCCCGCCGAGGGTTCGGATCCCACATACAGACTGGTTCCGCTCGCTGGCTGAGTGAGGTGCGGGCGCAACACCCAGGGTTGCGATCCCGTTGCCGGTCCCGGTCCGGCATGGGCGCGACACTGAGGGGTGG